TTTCATCCCCTTTTTTACCCCCTTGGGGGTGGAAATTATCAAAATCCTTTCTTAGCGAATGCCTACGTCATAACATCTATCTGTATGCCAAATTTTAGCCCAATCTGTCCAGCGGTTTGGGCTGTGCGTTGATAGATCACTATGTCAGTCAGTCAATCAGTCAGTCAGTCAATCACCTTTGAATTTTATATATATAGATAAGTAACTAAAGTATATACTTACTAACTGCTAGGATAAACTCGTAGAATAGTCGTAAGCGCGAGTGACAAGGAAGAAATGAATTCCTTCCCTTTCACTTTAATCCATCAGGATTGACATTTACTTATTTCAATAGATATTACCAAAGAGTATAATAAGTATAGGGATTGGTAGTACCATAATTTGGTATCTTTGAAACGTCAAAAGATATAAAATAAATAATAATCTGTAACTCTGACCGAGTGAAGCTCTCGGGGCTCGTTTCAAAATGTAGATTCGAATGGGCGAACGAGCAAGAAATTCCATAAATCGATTCGATCGATTACGGACTCCGAAAAAGTAGGTTTTATACGGGTTTTTCCCAGTAGGTAGCACAGAGTTTAGAATTAGGCCGGATATATTATGGTACACCTTAATATAATGTACTGATATGCAAAAGTGTACATAAGTAGGTGTATACTACCCATGTAACACCCACTTTGCAGTTTTCTCTCATGAGCTCTTGGCCTTCCACACACCTGCTTGCTTCCTTAGAAATCAAAAGACTTGTAAATATATTCGACCGGAGTGATACCACGGCCTCACAGAAAACCGACGTGAAGCAACGCTTGCGTTGTGTTTCGTCGTGTGAGTGAGGTTACCGGAGGCCCAATTACCTTCCCCTTCTCCAATCTCCCCAATCCCTGAATCCCCAACGATCCTCAAACTCCTAATCCCCAAAAAGCCGGTGACGCACTTGTAACGCCTCTGGTGTTCCAGGTGTCCATGGGCGATGATTCATCTGCTCGTTTACCGGCTTATGCCATAAAAAAAATACTTTAGAAAAAGATGCATAGGAAAACTGCTGTAACAATTGCACAGTACATTATTCGATATTATCGTGTTTTGTATTACGATATGACTCACGGTCTGACTAGCCGGTTCCAAGTAAACTGAACAACGTGTTGGACGCCGCGTCTTCACGCGATCTGCGCAAATATCGTCCATGTGATAGGAACCTGCGAACGGATGATTAAACTGACTAATATCTTACGAAATAACATACATAATCTCACGTCTGTCTCCCATTGGGGTAGGCAGAGACTATGGAACGCCTATTGCTACGAACCTTACATACGAAATAACATTGTTCATTATTCATTTACTGGGTTTACCGTGACCTCCACACTCGGCAGGAGCCAAAATAATAAATAATAAGATTTTTTCCTTCATCGTTCGCCAGTGGTGTCTAGATAATCTTAAAAAGTA